TTCATTTCCTCCAGCACTTCAATTTTACAAAATTATCGTAATCGTAATCGTTAATCACTAAGGTCTCATGATCGGTTATTATCAAATCAGTATCCGTAACTGAACAAATGGAATCAAAATTGGAATAAACGTGAAATACGCGTATATTCATTTACCGTTTGCTTTAAATTGAAAAAACTCAGCTAAACGCTTCAAATGATTCGAATTATGGTTGTCACGCCAGTTAATATTGAAATCAACAGCCAATATATTTAATTTACTAAAATCACAATTTTCAAACATGTTCACTACTTTAACATCATTTATAGCGATGTCTTCATTTTGACGTAGTCAATGAAGACATCGGAGGAATACTGATCGCTCATGTCCACTATTTTCAATCTTGGCACCGAAGTGGGAACAACAGCTCTATATTTTTCACCCAGATTGCTTTCAATACCAGTTTTTACATAATTTAGATTAGCTCCTTTTGCACACTCAACAATAATAAAGCCATCTTTACCATTCCTAAAATTACTGATTTTGTGTTTTTTTGGATCCAACTGAGTTTTCAAAAACTTACGAGTATCTTCGCAAGCTTGTTTGGACTCTTTTGGTTTGATCACAATGACCGGACTTACTTTTACTTGCGCACCTAGATCTTTTTACAACATCCGCAAAACTCGCATTTCCTTGAAAAACATCTTCAGTCGAATCGTTGTCACTATTTTGAAATTTACGTTTTTTTGCGTCTGGGACTTCGGTCCGATTCAGAATGAACGAGTCAACGTATTCCATTTCTCACTAATTAATTTTTCAAAGCAACTTAAAGAATCGTTCAAATTTTGTTGCATTTTTTCCATACCAATTCTCAACACGTTGTCTATCTGAGCAGCAACGTTGTTTCGTATACCAGTGATAGAGTCAGCAACAGAAGACAATTGCTTCATTGCTTCCCCCTAGTCGTCTAACTCTAGTCATAAATCCCTCCAATAAGATTAAAGATTTCGTTTGCGTTTTATAGACGCACATGCATCATTTGGCATAAGAACACTGGACTGTGGTGGGAAAAAAAGTGACTTCCATATCTATCACAGATTACAAATTCAACACTGAGCATACATAAGGACGTATCTGCGAAGATCGATTTTCTCTTTTGTTAATAACTTGCTTGGATTAGCATTTCTCGGTGCGTTTGCTGTTGCTTTTAATAACCAATACAACCTGTTACAGCACTACATTGAAAAAATTTCAGATAATATTCAAGCGATTCTCTTCGTCAACATTCTCTTTCGTTAATAACTTGAGCACATAACCGTTTCTTGATGTGTTTGTCGTATTAGATGCTAGATAAAAGCTTCTTTTATCGATCTGTGTGCTGAAATATCTGGGAATGTCTTAAAATGGCCGAGTGGATACAAGGAGAAAGTCGACGAAGATAATCTTGTCAATGTTAATTAGGACCTAATGCAATGATCAGCTTGAATTGTTTCGGTTAGCTGTAGCAATCTTTCATAGCTTATCTAACAGCATGAAGAGAGGTACCGTCTGATAATTTCAGTGCTTGGTATAGACATCTGTAATCTGTGAAGGGAAATCCTTTTTTCCCACCACAGAAACACCACGTTTTATTATACAAAATAATGAAGAATTAAATGGAGGTATTTCAAGCTAAAAAGTTCCTATCGCGAGATATTCACGATCAATACCGAAATTTCGCATAAATGTCCAACCCGTTTTGTTTGTGCGTGCTGCTGATTTTCACTGTTGCCCAATGCTTAGGGAAGTTTCATAAATAACGTAGTAGGGGGGGGGGAGGGGAGATAAGGGTTTCAGAAGTTGTGACCGGCCATGTATTAGTTCCAACCCAGTGCGAAAGATCCCATCCCAGACAACCAGAATGTACGTATATTCAAAGTTGTTTCTGTGATATACAAACAAACAAATCGTATAGAATGCAAAAAAAGGGCCTATACCTACAAAAGTGGAGGCCATATACGTGCAAATTTAAATTTCTTTTTAAACGAGTTGATTTGACATTATATACAATTCAATTTGTAATAACAAATTCAATTTGAAAAACCTTACGATGTAATCCGATTTAATTTGTGAAACAGTACGATGAAAAAAAGATTCGTCGTATATAAGTCGGAAATTTGCATTCTATACGATTTAACTGAAACATAATGCGATGTATGTCATACTTATATGCGATGTTGACTTAAACTGTAGTTATTTACGATACTTTCTGTACATTGTTATACGACTTCTGGTTGTCTGGGATATCTCAAATGGTTTTCCTGATAATCTGTTATGATGGTTCTGCTTTTATGAAAATAAAATGATGTTCTATCCCTCTAACATGGCTATATGTTGATCCAGCGTGCAGATTAAGTTAATATCACAGACAAACAGACATAACACTCGCAAGTTTTTCATCGGACAAGCATTTAACGGACAATTTAAAAGTATCGTAGTTGGTAGTACCGCCACCTGTGGCGCGCATAGTCAATTCCCTTGCGTTTGACGTTTACACACTACCGCCATCTGTTCAGCGTAGTGCCCACCACAGTATACTCAACAGATGGCGGTAATGTTTTAGCGACGATGTTTTACAGTGAGAAATTTTCAATGTGTTATGTCTGTTTGTCTGTGTTAATATCGTTGTCTCGCCAAGGGTGTCACGATAAAGGGACAAATCCAAATAGGTTTTCCTAGCAACTTTTCCACAATTTGCGTTAGCATTTAATCAATGAGCATAATTCCAAGCGCATTCTACAAAGCAGTCTGGGATAGTGGAACCGTGGATGCACCCGACAGTTTCTATCGGGAATTTACTTAAATGTGAGATTTTTTTCATGAATCCGATGTTTAATCGACGGATGAATGTTCGAACCTTATTTTTCATACAAAATACCAAAATAGACCAGTCACCAGACGTGACGAGAATATGGGTGATTATAAGGTGATAATACGGCTTTCGGATATGTTTGAGTCTATTCCAACGCCAAGACTTGCTGATATTTTTCATTATTTATATGATTTTTTTGCAGTTTTTTTTATTTATAATTGTCACGTGTTTTTCTCGCTAGTTTATAATATTTATACTTTTTGTAAACTTTAATTTTTCAATATTGGAGATAAATTACTACTAGGTCTAAATTTCACTTTTGCAGTGTGTTTTCTTCTTTAAATTTTGTGTTACTCTCCTTCCGTTTACTTGACATATTCCTTTCTCTAAGACCGAGAATCGGTACGACTTCTTTACTACTCGCCTCCTCGCTAAAGTCATTTCCCACGCAGAAGAATGCCAAGAGTGCCAGCGCTGACACATGTCCCCCATGGCCACCCCACGCAATAGTTTGTTTGTTTTTTTTTCGCCTAACTCCGACTCTTGGCATCAGAAGCACGCACGTCAGTCGCGAAATCTGGTACGAACAACGAATTCCGTTGGATCATAAAGATTCTGTTCCTTGTTGGGAGGGGAAAGGGGACTTAGGGGGGTAAGCTAAGAAACACAGAATAAACAATAATGTACAAGACTATTTTTTTCCGTTTTGCCAATTCCCCACGAAATGTACAGCGGATTTTGTTTTGTTTTTGATAACATGTTTAATAACGATTTTTTTTTTATTTTGTCGGTTCGAATGTTAAAGAAACGCAACCACCCTTGAATTGATTTTTGTCTCGCAATCAAAAAAGTTCCCACGTTAAGGTTTCAGTCTATCTCGTGTTCATATCTATAGGTTGTAATGTAACTCTTGGAACTAATTGGTTGGTTTATTTCCTGGATTTTGTATTCTCTACTATTTCAAGCCATTCGACTAATTTGCGAATCGTTTCGGAAAGTTCGTCGCCTTCTTCCCACGCAACAGCAACCACAGAATTGAGGGGAAAGAAAGGCGGAACGAACGGAACGCGGAACGTTTCCCTTTGGGATTCTCACGCGCAACAACCACCCACATCCACAACAAATGTGTGCTCTATATTATTTGTTTTGCCTCCTCCTTTGCTGATGAGATAATAAGCCAGCTATGTTTTATGGTTTCTTTCTGTTAGTGTGTATGTGTTTACTTAGTTTCCTTCGTAAGCGGATAAATGCGAAAAATGAATTGTGTTTGTGTGATTTTGTTGTGAAATATTTTCAATGATTTTTGTTTTGTTTTATTTTGCATCGAGATTGATCGATTTCTACATTGAAGTAAGTTCCTACGAGTTAAAATAGCTTTTATTCAATATTTACAGTTTAGTTTTGTGTTTACTGTGACGAAAACTGACAAAACTGAGAATAAATTAGATACTTTGATTTTGTTTGTTTGTTTCCATTACTTTGTAGATGCTAGGTCAGATAAGCTAATCAACATACTTGTTAGAACAAGTCTGCCCGTGTCCAAAAGTTATATTTATAGGATTTTAATAGGGTTATCTACTAAGCCGAGTCAATCACTTTTCCCCATCATCTTTGCAGGTTTCTTCCCCCTCCTAGATAGTGAAAAGGAGGGAACAATGATCTGTGTACTAAATTTCATCATGATGTCACTGTTGGAACATTTTTATTTTATTTTTGAATGGCTGATGATGGGGACGCGAAATTATCTACTAGTCTGACAGTTGGCTATTTTACACCGTTTGCTTCTTTTTTGTTTGTTTTTTTTTTTTACTCTACGTCTTACGCGCTACTAAGACAAAGATTATAGTACACAAATAACAGGTTTTAAGGGTAGATCTATTTTTGATAAGATGTCAAGCACTTTAAAACGGTTGAAATTGCTTCTTCGCCGGCTTTGGTCCGGCAGACGATTCTCGCACTATCACAAGAGTCGGTCTCCAAGGCAATCCCCCACAAGAATATCCACAGCATGTTTACTCTAAGATCACCATCGAAAGCTTCTCTTACGCGCTTCGATGTCCAGCTGGCAAAAGCAATCGCACGAGAGCAATTTCAACCCTGCCAAAGCCTTTTGATTCTAGTTTTTTTTTTCTTGTTTTAGTTTAATCCTAGAGATGTTTCCTTTACTGTCTACCACAAGTACTTCGCATCTTTTCTGCTCTTCCTGCCCAGCGAATAAATTACATTTTACGTCACAATTTTTGTTTTGTATCTTTTTTTACACCCTACTTAATTTCATCCCTCATTTACTATATTTATACCGAAAAAAGAAATACACTTTTCTCTCCTAATATCAACCGCCTAAAACTTCCTCTACATGAACAAACAAAAACTTTCAACCTAAAATTATAAGCGTCATTTACTCATTTTTAGTCAAATTGGTTGCTGGTCATCCTTATCGGAATGGTCCTGCTGATCCTTCGACAAGTTGAGTGACCCCTCAGCCTGGGCAGCAGCTGCTGCTGCGGCTGCAGCGGCGGCGGCCGCCTTAGCTTCCGCTGCCATTCGTGCCGCAGCAGCTGCCGCCTGTCGTCCCGCACTGGATCGTAGCTCTCGCTTCCGTTCCGGAACTCCCACCGTTAGGTCCAGATCCTCACCGCTACGTCGTCGCTTGGACCGAGTTGCTCGTCGACCGCCGGTTGATGGGGTCAAGGTCGGTGCACTGCTGGACTCTCCACCGGAAGAGCTAGCCGCATCGGTACTGGAACGAGTGGATTTTCTCGTCGATGCCAAATCGGCTGCCTTTTCGTGATCGGATTTACCCGCATCTTCCGAAGGTTGTTCCGTCGAGTGACGCTGGCTCCGGCGCGAAGCACGACGTTCATGCCGTTCCGCTTCATCGTGATGCTGTTGTTCGGATTGTTCTTGATGGTGTTCTTCCTTCTGCTGTTGGTGTAGTTCAACAGGGGTTTCGTCCATTGGTCTGGGCGCTTCCATTTCCTCCGGTTGTCGGTGTCCGACTTCCGGTTCAATAGGTTCGTCTTCTACGGGAGCGGTTTTTTCTAGTGCTCGTTCGCTCTCTTCCCGCTCCCTACGACGTTTGTGTCGTAGTTCTCGAGCATGAGCTTGCTCTTGTTCGTGTTGTTCCTTTTGCTGTTGATGCTGCTGTTGCTGTTGTTCTTCCAGCAACTTCTTCTGCTCTGCTATCCTTTGTTGCTCCAACAATCGTTGAGCTTCTTGCGCTTCCTGAAGCTTCTTCATCTGCTCTTGTTGAAGGAGCTTTTGCTTCTGCTTCAGCAGCATAATCTGTTTCTGAGGATCATCCTCGTCGTTCAGAACATTACCGGATTTCGACAGCTTCGATGGTGCTATCAAGTCCTCCAGATCCATCTCCTGATTGTGGGCAGTATCTACCACCGTTACCGAAGGCGTCGGTATCGAATTCGACGCCGATGCCGAGGATGATGTTGAGAGATTCTGAGGCGCTGTTGACGTCGGTGTTACCGTAGTGGAGCTCGACGAACTCTTGCTCAAATCAGCCGCCATATCCGCCGACCGCATGCTTCGCTCATTCCGTTCGGCCCGCTCCGCTCTTTCTGCCAGCCGTTCAGTACGCTCTCGTTCCCGTTCCCGTTCTCGTTCACGATCACGATCACGATCGCGGTCGCGTTCACGATCTCGATCACCCATGCTGGAAGTCGATGAAGTCGACAAAGCTGCCGGACTCTTGGCACTGAGATTCAACGATCCACCACCACCGCCGGACGAGGATGATGAGGACGTTCCTGGCATTCCCACGGGAGATGCCAACGAGATTGTCGTTTGTGAAGGAAGCGATGCCGCTATACTAGCAGCAGCTACCGGAGTCAATGTCACCTTATCGATGCTAGCTAACGAATCGGTTGAAGACCTGGTCCTGGAGCTCTTCATGTCATCTTGTTGGGACGATCCTCCGCCTCCCATCATCAGGGTCTTCGGGTCTAGCTTGGACAGATGGTGCTGCAATTGTTGCTGTTGCTGCTGCTGTTGCTGGGAATCATGTCTCGAAGAAGACGTTGTTCTCTTCGAATCTGAGGTTGACGAAGTCGACGATGAAGTCGGTATCAACGAAATCGCAGGACCAACTCCCAAGCTTCTCGCCAGCAGTTCAATAGGATTCTTGCTCAACTGTTCGAATGCTTCTTTTAGCTCTTGATCACGGGATTTCTTCGAACCGGATGAAGATCCTGCCGCGGCGCTGGCAGACAGGGCTTGAGCGGCCATTTCAGCGAATAACGCTTGACTAAACTCAGGTGGCAGTGGAAGTTGAAGGTCCTTAGCGCTCATGGCTGCAGCCGCCGCTGCTGCTGCGGCAGCGGCTGATGCATTTGCTGCAGCTGCACTACTACTGCTGCTGCTGTTCTTCGACGATGATCCATGTCCGGAAGAGGAACGTTCCGATGACGATCCTGGCATTTTACCGGTGGCAAATGCTTGCATGGCTGCCAAGTCCGACGGGAAGGCTCCTTGCGATAGTGTTTCCAAAATTTTCCTTCTTTCACGTTCCAGTTTCTCCAGGGCTTGTTTATTCGCCTGCTGAGCGGCAGAACTTTCCCTGGCTCGCTTATCAGAAGCACTGGAACCACTACTCCTGCCACTTTGGCTAATATCCAAACCAGCAGATCGTGTCAGCGAATCCAGCAAATGTTTGTCATGCGGCAGCAGAAGTTGCTGGAGTTGCGCAGCTTCCAATGCGGCCTGCTGGGCAGCCGCTGCTTGCTGGCTTGACAAACTTGAACTTCGGTTTGATTTATTGCCTGGTGATGAGGACGACTGCTGGGAACCTCCGCTCATTCCCCGAGAACCGCTTTGCTTTGACTGGGACTGGCGTGAAGTCGTCGGAGAGGAAGTCGTGCTTGTCGTTATACCACTTGTTCCCAATCCAGCTCCGGGAATTCCGTATGGGTTCAACCCACCGAGTCCAAGCGGTGTGTACAGTAGACTTGGATTCGGGAAGAAGAATGGGAACTGACTGTTTGCTGCTGCAGCTGCCGCCGCCGCTGCCGCTGCCTGTTGAGAGTTGGAATTCTTGCTAGAACTCTGCTGCGATGAAGATGACGAACCGGATCCATCGGGTTTTCTCGATTTACTGGAACCGCCACCTCCACCTTTACTTTGAGTACCGCCAGTTGCAGCTGCAAGAGCCGTTGTTGGATCTAATCCTGCAGCAGCCATCATTGCCGCTAGGCTTTGTGCATCCATTCCGGAGAGGCCGGGTAGACCAGCCAAACTGGCGAAGAGATTCATGTTGTTCAGATTTCCAAGTCCACCCAGTCCAGCCAGTCCAGGCATGCCACCAAACGGCATCGCTAGCAGTGGATTCTTCGGATCGAAACTGCCCAATCCAGGAATGCTAGATAGCAGATTGGCATTCAGTCCTGCTAGTTGCGCGAATTGCATATTGGCAGCACTGTTACTGCTATGCTTTTTCGATGCGGCCGAAGAAGATTGCTGGCTGTTGCCTCCACCGCTGCCATACTGACCACTCTGGGATGCCATGGGCGAAGATGCTGATGACGATCGCATCTGTTTGGAGGAGCTAGACGAAGGGCTTCCCGAGTCGGATGGCGAAGATTTCGAGTGCGTCATAGGGCTAGGAGGAAGGGTGATAGATTCCGCCCATTTCGGGTCAATTTCGTAAGCTGGATTGTCCTGCAGCCACTGAGTAAGCCGCTTCAATTGAGGCGCTTTGTTTCCGGTCAAACGTTTGCCATTGATCTTATTGATAACGGATACGTATTCCTCCCCGGTGAGATTCTTCCAGTTGAATGCCATTGGATTGCTATCAGCTTGCTGCTGTTGTTGTTGTTGTTGTTGCTGCTGCTGCTGCTGCTGTTGTTGTTGTTGTTGTTGCTGCTGCTGTTGCTGTTGCTGCTGAGAATGGTGATGTTGCTGAAGACTGCTGCCAGCATTCCTCGTCGATCTGGAAGATGTCGGAGTCGTTGCCTGTGATTGTGAAGTAGATGAAGACGATCTTCGCGATGTTCTCGATAGGTAGTCCATTCCCATGGCGTGCTCAGCAGTGAGAGCTGCCGTTTGTTCAGCCAACCATTTGTTCACCTTGGCATCGTGCGCTGAACCGTACTGACCTAGTTTGGAGCTTAGTTCCGCAGCTTGTTTCATTTCTGCAAACATCACTTCATAGGCCTTTCGCTGCGGTGAGTTGGCTGGCAGTGATTGGATCAATTTTTGCTGTTGTTTCAAGAATGCCTGCTGCTCAGCTTGAGCCGCCTGGGCAAACAGTGCATTCAGACTGTCCTTCGTCGAAAGAGCTCCCATACCGGACATGTTTTGTAGGGCAGCCAGTCCACTGTTCGAGCTGGTAGAACTGGACGATCCTTGGCCGCTCTTGGATGTTCCCGGAACACTCGTAACCGTAATAGTGAACGGTTTCTGCGGAGGCTGTTGACTGACCGACGAAGGTGCACTTGCCGGTGTAACGGAAACACTGGGCGGAATCTGGGGCTTCTTCATCGAACTTCCGGAGAAGCTTCCACCCGGAGGAGTTGGATCGCCGAAGATCGTCTTCTGCTCCTTGGCAGCGGACAACCCCAACACAATCTCGTCCAGCTTCCTTCGCTTCTTTTCCTTGCCCAGCGGAGGCTCCTCGATCGGAACGCTCACGTTGTTCTTCTTCATCAACTTCGACAGCATGTCGTTCAGTTTACCTTTGCCAGCAGCTGCCGCCGCTGCCACTGCTGCCGATGGTGATTGCATTGAAGAACCACCGCCACCGGCACTCGTAATACTGATACTGGTAGACGATAATCCGCGACCGCTGCTGCCGCTGCCATAGTCACTGGATTTGCTCTTTTTACCAATCGAAAAGTCCTGCGCTTCGCTCAGGTCCATCGGACTCTTGAGCATGTCCGCCATGTTGACCTTCGGTAAGCTGTATCTGTAATGTGACGTAAGAAAGAAATCAAAGTTTAGAAAGATTTCAATTTTCGGCCTGATCTGCTGCTGCAAACTGGAACCTACCCTGAGGACAAATCAATTGGCGTCAGCGTACTGGAAGTGCCCGGAATAAGAGTGGGCTTCGAGTAGCTCATGGGATTGCGAGAACCGTGTTGATGGGCTGGTGGCGGTTGCAGTACGTTCGAGTTTGACGAACTGCTGCGACGGGCATCAACGATATCATCGTCGTTCCAGGAAAGTCCGCTGGCCGACTGCAGCTGCTGTTGCTGTGACTTACTGCCAGGTGTGACTGCAATTCGAAAAGGGATTGACGAATTTCATTAAATATTGATCCTTCGGAAAACGATCGAGATGGAAGGAACATCGAAATCAACTATAGGGGTAGAGTTTACGACATCAATTGAATTTTGATTTCACAGAAGAAAAAAAAGCGACTAATTGGAGAATTTTGTATCGGCATGATTCTGCCAAAGCGGATGCAAGAGTTTCATTTGAATTGAGATCTGGCGAATATTGCCTTGCATCCACTTCGAACGGAATTCCAAAGAAATCAACTTAAAATATAATAAAAAGAAGGTGTAAGCCAATTGATTATGTTTACCTGGACTCTGAGTATTATTCAACAAAGCATGCAATTTGGCCCTTTCTGTTTCAACATCAATAGCAATGTGTCTCTTGCGTTTCTTACTTGACGAAAGCGAAACATTGGCGGCGGCAGCGGCGGCTGCAGCAGCCGCAGCTGCCATTTGACTTTGACTTAAGCCTTGTGTACCACCTGCTCCCGACCCACTGCCTCCAAGACCCACAGCAGAGAGGGCGGCAGCCGTTTGTGCATTCAGAGCCGCTTGGCTTATCTGTTTCGCCCCGGCGTGATCGGTTGTGATTGTAATCACGTCCGGCGTGCTGGAGGTTGACCGCCGGGTATCAGCGTCCACTGAAATGATACGCTTGATTGTCTCGTGTAGTGGAATATCCAGATCAATGCCCAGACATCCGGTGTAGGCTGAGTAGGATTTGCCCACTGGCCATTCTCCGTGCTCGATACAGTAGATGATGTGACCAACGCGACGCTCCAGTGCGAAATCCCGGAACCATTTCACGATCATTGAGGTGTCAATCATGCTGGCGAATTTACTCATATCTGCAATAAAATCAAAGTTAATTTCAAAGTGCATCGCTTCAAATAACCAATCAACTTACTTTTGAAGTCTTCCTTAGAAACACTGTTATCAAGCTGCTTTAGCTTCATCAACGGTTGGAAAACCTCGAGATCTGGGAAGCGAGCCTTCAACTCGGCGGCTTGCTTCGAGCATTTCTCCTCCTCCGTCAATACTTTCGGTTTGACGTCAGTAATTTTCTGTTCGTCCAGTATGATTACATCGGGAGATGATTCCCGTTCGGTATCCGATTTCTTGGACGTTTCCGTGTCTTCCTTCTTGGTTGAGGAGCAAGCTTCCTGGTGATCCATTGTCGGCTTTTCGTCGGACTTGACTTCATCAGATTTTTCCTCCCTTTCGGCAGAATCTTTCTCTGCTAGCGTGTCCTTTTCTTCGCACCTTTCTTCCTTGGACTCGGCATTTTCATCTTCAGAAGCTTTTTCTTTCGGATCTTTCTCTTCCGAATCAACTTCCATGGCTTCTGGTTTCACTTCCTTTTCGGTAGGTTTCGATTCCTCTTCTTCATCTAGATCTGCTGTCTCCTTCTTATTATCTATAACCTTTTCAGACGCATCCTTTGGCTCCTCGTCTACTTCCATTTTCTTCTCCGCTTCTGTGGATGTCTCGTCGGATTTCTCCTCCTTAACTTCCTCTTTGAGTTCCTTGTCGGTTTCATCCGAAAGTTCTCCTTCGTGCTTCATTTCCTCACCCTCTTTCTTGACCTCATCTTCAACTTTAACTTCTGCTTTCTGTTCAACTTCGTCTGTCTCGGATTCCTTTTCAACCTGCGATTCTTGCGTTTCCTTCTTGACCGGAATCTTTTCGATCTTCAGTGATCCGTCACCCTTCTCAAGTTTCAGCGCTAGCTCGGCCTTTTCGGCTGCTTCCGCTTTGGCGGCTTGCATTTTCATCAACTGCTGATTTTGCAGTTGAATTTGCATTTCCAGATTTTGCAGATATTTCTTAGCTGCCTCGTAGAAGGGGAACTCCGGATCGGCTAGGATCAGTTGTTCTGACCGATAGATACCGTGCTTGAGCACCGCTCGAAGCAGTTCCCGATCGTGTTTACCCGAAATCCACCAATCCGGTGTATCCAGGTTGTTCTCACACAGCTTGATGTTCTCCTCCAGCTTGGGATGCTTGATGATTTCACGGGCCCTCGAGAGCAGCTCCAACCGATCGAGAATCAGCTTGGCGTGGTCTTCGGTCACATCGTCCACCAATCCTTCCAAGTTCTTCTCGTCGTCGTTCAGCTTAACGCCGGCCTGGCGCTTGCACATCGCGATGAATACTTTGTAGAAATCGCTCAGATTTTCGTCCGACTTCTTGTCCAGCTTCGCGTACACTTTGAACCTACCGATATTTGTAAGATTGCTCGTAAGATGATCGTCGTAGATTGCAGCCACGGGGAAAAAAAACCTTACCTTGACCAATCCGGTGTCGGGACCGATGTGTTCGACAGCAGGTCAATTCCGTATCCAGTGAGAACGCGGATGAATTCATTTTCTTCGCGGCGAGACCACTTCTTGGGAATCTGCTCCAAACGGACACGTTCTCGTTCACGCATGACCTGTTCCGTTTTTTCGCGTCGTTCCATTTTCTGGAATTGAACGAACCCAAAATTTAGTGCTCTTCAATTCTTCAATTCTTTCGAGTGGAGTGTAATTGAAACTCAAGATTGAAAATTTTGGACATCTACTACCAAACTAATAAAGACAATACACTACAAATAACCGCCACCAGACGTAGGATTGAGAATAACAAAAAGGAAATACTGTTTACCAATCATCGAAACGAAAAAGCTTTCTATAATTAATATTTCAATCAACCCATTTTCCGATCCCACCATTTCATACTAACCAAGTACATGGCCAACTTTTGCAGATCGAGATTCGCCAGCTGCGAAGCATCGGCCGGATTGAGGCCCAGGCCCAGGCTAAGCATCAGACTGAAGTCGGCTGCCGTTGGCATTCCACTGGTCGGGGTGGTCCCACCCAGCGAGAAACCCCCAGCGCCGGCCGATGCTTGCTGCTGTTGGCTCTTGCTCAATCCGCTAGTGCCAGCGTAGGAGGTGGAAGCGCCGCCGGCGCCTCCGAGCCCGGAAAGCGACTGCTGCATTTGGACCGATTGGGACTGCTGCTGGTGCTGCGGAGTGAGACTACCGCTCATGACCGGTCCGGGGGTGGTACACGGCGTCGACGGGTTCGACGACGATTGGCCACCCATCGAAGATGCCGGCGGTACGATCGCCTGGAGCTGGGTAGGTGATATTTGGTTTGCGTTCAAGTCAAGAACAGCGCAGCACAGGGATGCCAAGAAAAGACGGGGAATATAAGGTCATTTGTGTCGATATTTGGTCGATTTGATGAAATTTTCATGGATTATGGAGCAGAAAGTGTGAGGCAAGCGCATTATGGGGAGGAATGAAATGAAAATGGGGTATGAATCAGCAATGGTAAATGGACAGCAAATATTTCAGAGCGTATAAAAACAAATAATATGTGGGGGGATTTGTCAACAAGGATGTGTAGTTTTTATTGCGTAGTAATGATTTTTCCCGGCGTCGTGCCATTATTCGGCCTAATGTCGCTAAACCGAATAGGTCATTGGAGTGAATGTGAAAAAAAGTAAAGTACTGGACTACACGGTTCATTTCCATTAGAAACGGAAGTAACTTTTTATTTCAATAAAGAAACTAGTGATATTCATCATGTAATTACATGAATGTTACGTGACTTTTCACATACATTTATTTGGACACATATTTTATGGTAGGATTTGCAATTATTTGAAATTTTACACGGACCAGTGCTGTAAATTCTCAAAATCATTTGAACATTTTTGATGAAAATGAGAAAAGCAGCTATTCGCTATCAAAGGGGACCTCCTCCTCCGAATGGGTGATATCAGTTGCTTAGTCATTTGACGAAGGCATGGATCATTCCAGAACAACATGTGAAAAGGGCATACAAGCTTTTTGTAAACAAACCTTTGTAGGCCCTTTCCTCACCAACCGAGGGTCGCCCACGCAAACCAGCACCCCTACCCGGTGATGTTAAAGGTTTGCGTTGGTGTCATATGGGTGGCGAGAAAAGGGCATAAGAAGGTTTGTTTACAAAAAGCTTGTATGCCCTTTTCACATGTTGTTCTGGCATTCTCATTTGAGAAACGCTATATATCATTCCATTGAGTGTAACCTACACACAAACGGAGCTCTGGTCGACATTCCGGCGAAAAAGTTAAGCCAACCCGACACCAACCTGACTTCTATCAAACCCCAACCCGCTGTTGACCCGACATAAACCCAAAATTGACTCTACAACAACACGACATTGGGTCGACATCGACCTTAAATTAGCCTTACATTGATCCGACATGGGGTCGACTTGTCTGTTCGGGACCATCCACTGTCGTGACTGAGTGACTCAATTGACAGTGACAATGAGCTTCGAATGAGAAAGGGGCTCTTCAAATTATGATCATGTGAGAATTCGTTTACACAGAATTGATTGAATGGTTGTAGTGGTTCATCTTCAATCGAATGATATGAAAATTTACAGCACTGACACGGACACTACCTACATGGCAAGAAGGAAACTATTCGATTTGACATAGATAAAAATAGAATTCCTCAGAGGATTTCTAGGGTGGCATGATTATACTATGTATAATGCATGATAAATTTGTGTAGCTTGTGTATGTCATACTATTTGCATATTATTGTCCTCTGACCCCTTTGTGGCGGGTGGGACAAAAGTGCCATTCATTCGGTCAAAAATAAAGTCTTATAAAAAATTCAAAAAAATATTTTCGCTGATGTGCCGAAAATCAAAATTATTTATAATAATTAGTCGTCATAATTTTTGTTTTTTTTTTTTTTGATTTTCCAAATATTGTTTCTTGCAATTCCTGCATTGAGGCATCACTAATAATGATTAATTGAAACATCAATAACAAAGAATAGGTAAATATTCCCTATAATTGGTCAAAAACCGTCTTCTTAAAAATGAACCGGGGCAAGGGTGCCACCCCTATATTTATAAATAAAATTTTACAAAATTGTCAACAATAATTTTCATTTGATTTCATTGGTAAACATAGTTCATTTGTTATGTATTGAATATTACTGTAAAATTCAATAGGTATAAAACAGCAAAAAAAAGGTTATCTTCCATTTAATTCCACTTAATTAATTTTGGTATCCATGACAGATACGTATTTCGACTACAATGTGCAGTCTTCATCAGTGTCATTCCCACTAAAGAACTTATCAAAATCTAACCCCATTAAGTACTCATCCCCTAGGTATAAAAGTCAAGATCACAGGTATATAAATGAAACTACAATGTGTTGAATCGGAACCTACCTAACTAATTAAAACCAAAGATTTAAGTAAGCTAAAGGAGAAAAATCTATTCAACTCTCTAATAAGGAAAATCCCAAAGGCTTGGTAGCCATCATAATGAAGTAATGAAATTGGGTTGTTAGCGGAATGCTTTAATAAAACAGCAAAAAAAGGTTATCTTCCATTTAATTCCACTTAATTAATTTTGGTATCCATGACAGATACGTATTTCGACTACAATGTGCAGTCTTCATCAGTGTCATTCCCACTAAAGAACTTATCAAAATCTAACCCCATTAAGTACTCATCCCCTAGGTATAAAAGTCAAGATCACAGGTATATAAATGAAACTACTTCATTACTTCAATAGGTATATTGAGTTAACAATAACAGCTGTAGTTAGCATGATTAATAATCAAAAGGCTATGTTTATAAACAAGCATTAATCGATTTCACTCAATTTAAGAAACATGACGCTTTTACCCATAGAGGGTGGCATTCTTGCATTTGAAAAAATTGTAAACAACTTTTGACGAGATTTAATTTACATTACATTGCTATGTATGAAGGCAATAATATGAACTTGCGATACGGTGTAGAAACTCCTACACTGAGGAAATTAGAATTACGATTTTCATAATATGTTTCGTATGAACAAGCATTTTGAGCTCTGGAAATAGTTTCATACGACTGTGTATGTTATTCATAGCATGCGTATGAAAATTACATGACTCAAAAATGATTCCCATACGAAATGAGTCTAAATTTCATACGAGGCTGCAATGAACTTTATGAGTTGATCTTGTGTGACAAAAATCATACGTCGTTCGTATGAACGGTGTTCAAAACAAAACAATATGGCGTACGAATCGAAATTACTAGCGTATGTTAAAGTTCCGGCGGAAACTTGGGCTGTATTGAGAGGTAAAAACGCTGAATTCTAAATAATTTTCCGGATCCTACCTACATATTTAAAATTATAGAGTGTATGGCTTTAATAACAACCATTATCGCGTACTGGTAGATCCAGAAGAGCGATTTGATTTGGACGTGAATTGCATAATGACTAGAACAAAACGTAAGAAGGTAATGTAAAGATTATTTCAAATATTTACTATCAATGTGTCCACAGAATCTGCCTAACATCAAAATACTGCGGTTACTGCAATTCTGTTACGATAACGGACATAACTGAGTTAAAGTTGGAACCAGTGGCATCAATAGCCAGGCAGATTGTAGTCCCAGCACTTAAAATTTTAAAGGTAATTTTTGAGTGATGTTGTTTATAATACAAAAACTCAAATGCAACGCAAACTAAAATTTTTCTTTGTTTAAAAAATAAATATGAATTTATGATTACATGTATCTAATTAATTAGCAAGAAAAAAACTACAAATAGCTACAATGAATTTCATAGTTGATTCGATTGCTTTTCGTATTCCTCTCGTTTCTAATTCGTATCATTTTCATACGACACATTTATGAAATCCATATGTGTCTACTGCAAAAAACATAAATGATAACAAAGGTGCGCGTTCATATTTCTATCGTATGAAATTCAAAATAAATTCTTTTGGTTAAATTCCATAAACATTTCGTATGAAATTCCAACGAATTATTTCCTCAGTGTATAAATATATATCAACTATTTGGCTTATATAGAAGGTACAATTGTTAAGGTGGCACTCATATCATACATTTAATGAGTATTTCCATGAGTCCCACACATAAAGTTCTGCAATAAGATTCATCATACAACTAAGACAAATGAACTTAAAAATTTCAAAAGGCACGAACGACACTCTTATGAATTCCATAAGCGCAACTTTTGAATTATTATCGTCTTACACGAAGGTAGTTCTTATTAGAAATACTCAGAGGGAGAGATGGGCGGAGAAAATCTTTTGAGCCAAATGAACTGTCAAAATCTTAGCCAATCGAACATTCCAATTAGATTTTTCTTATTCTTACTAGAATAAATTTGAGAGTATTGCAATCGAACAAAAATACAATCATCTTTATGTTTTGTGTGCTTCTCAAATTCAACTAGTTTTTGGAATCAAAAACAATATTCTAACTCTATTGATTAATTGATCTTCGTCGGTTAATGAATGGCACCAAGAAATGTGCAAAATATTGCGATGCAATCAATTATTATTTTGCACCTAAATCGAAACAAAAATACAAGTCATTTGAAATGCTAACTTCTAGCAAGGGTTGCAAGATAATTTAGAAACAAATCCGTACTGCCGAATTGTATTTTGTTTTCTCCGCCTATCCCTCCTCTCTGAGTATTTCTAGTTCTTATACTGCCGCTCATGGCAAGTCCGTCCCATAGTTAGTTATAATCAGCATACCGAGAAAAACGCGTTTTTTAATTTTTTTTTTTTCGTACCATTGCTTATTATGCAACAGAACAACTCGTTTGGCTGTTTTCCCAGATCAAAGTTGTTGAGTTCATGAAGTATAATGAATCTATGGATGATTAGCTAACACTTCCATTGAAAAACTCAGTTTTGACAAAACGCAAATGGAACCGACTTGCGATGAGCAGCAGTATACACATTTCTCGCGCAACACGAGAAAAGGGTCTATCATTGTTGATCGATTCGCGTCATCGATTTTCTCTTTCGCGAATTATGCGACTGCAAATGAATTTCCCATTGAGTATGTTGTTTCAGGCGCAAGCTAACATAATCCTCTGTTGAACTGTGCTGCGAGCTTAGCGAAAAAATCGTTTATGTTGCCGTGGTAAACCAAAGAGAAAGTCAATGAAGAGAATCGATCAACGAGGATAGGCTCTTTTCAAATGTTACGCCAGATTTAGGCTTTTCTATTTGTACAGTCATGCGCCCCGTAATCTCAACGTTAATGGTTAGATTCCAGTCTGCTCCGTTTTATTATTTTTTAA